GTGTTTAATGGCTGGTTCTCTCAGCACAGCACCGTATTGTGTACTTCTTGCGGGCCTCTGCGTGCAGAGATCTTTATAAGCCCTCATTTGTTAGCTTCTTGTTGGTGAATCATCCTTTCACAATCTTGACTCAGAAACCCAACCTCTAGGCCCAAAGCCAAATAGCCAGAAGCAATCAAAGGTAGTAAATCAGGGTGTGCTTTGCTCAGGAGCCTTAAGCTCTGCCCTCTCTTCTTGGTAAATCAAGCACAGGAGAAAACATATTTCTAGGGAGAAAAACCTGTTAACCAGCCTGGCGTATTCCTATTATTTATTAGTATACTAGAGTCTTGGTGCACAAAATTTGTGCACTCGGGGAGGGACATCCCTCAGCCTGGCCTGTGCCCTCTCACTGTCCAGGAGCCCTCAGGGGATGTCTAACTGATGGCTTAGGTAGGAGCGGGACTAAGCCAGCAGTTAGACATCCTTAATGCTGCTGTGGAGGCAGGAGAGGCTCCCACCACTGCCTGCACTGACCACCAGGGGGAAGCTCCTGCATTGAGTGTCTGCCCCCTGGTGGTCAGTGCGCATCATAGCAATGGGTCATCCCACTGTTTGACCGATTTGCATATTAGCCTTTTATTATATAGGATCATCCAGGAGAGAAGAAAGGCCCGGCAAGTAAACCATTTCAGGCCTGAGCGTCAGGCTCTATGTTTCCAGTCCAGCTCTTTCGTTTAACAGCTGTGTGACCTGGGGCAACTTACTGTGTCTCTCTGAGCCTCAGCAGTTGCTGAGAGAATTAAAAGCAATGCGGTTGTGCCAACGTATGTAAACTGACGTGAGGATTCTTGTTCTAGGATTGCCTCGAGCTCCTCAGTGAAAGTTCCATCTAATCCTATAATCATGTATGTCCTTGTAATCCTCCTAAAATACTTTTTCAGGCTATCTTACATCAAATGAACGCAAATCAATCACTTTAATTAAGCTAAGCCCTTACTAGATTGGTGGGATTTAAACCCACGAAACATTAGTTAACAGCTAAAAACCCTACCCCCGACCCCCTTACTCATCTACAGCCTAGGAAAATTTCTCAGCCAGTCATGTGAGCCATCAGGGATCACCCTGACAAACCAGATTTCCTTCTTTGCTGGCAAGGCCAGGACGCTGCCGGCATGGGAACTCTGGGAAACCACATGGAGCTGGCACATGATATTAATTAACTGTTTCTTCAAACTCTGGGTGCCAATACGTGTGTTTGTTTGTTTGTTTGTTTTTATGATACAGAATAGAATAGAAATTCCTCATGCACTTCGTGTATTGTTTCACGATGTGTGTGTGTGTACACCTGGTCTGAATGTAAAATAACATTTCTTATTGTGAATCTCAGCCAAGTTTAAGGCCACGATGGAGTTTGGGCATCAGATCTCTTATGAACTGCAACCCAGCTGCTCCCTCCAGGTGACTTCTCTACCTCAGCTCCCCTTGACAGCTGGCAGCTTAGAGCTGGCTCTACCCATTAGACCCTGCAGTTCACCTGGAGCTTAAAAACTGCAAACATGGCCTCATCCCCGGGGAGTCTTTGAGGAGAGGCTTGGGAAATCTACTTTACAGACATTTCTACTTTTTATTTTTTTTTTAGAAAACGAGAACCTCCTGCAGGAATGGGAACGAAAATGCTAGGAACCCAATTCTGCTTGAACTTCTGCGTTACCAGTCCAGACCCTTCCAGAACCACCAGCGACAGCGAATGGCCAAACTGCCTCCCCAGCGGCTCACCTCTCCCAGTGCACAAGTATCTGCATTTGTGGCATTCCAGGAGTCCTTCCGCCTCCGACTGGTAGTATTCCACGTCCTCCCGTCCAGGCCTGGGGTTCGAGGGCAGATACAGCCCCGAAGGGGGTTCGCTGTAACTAAAAACATACACGGCCATCAGGGGGCTTCGATTTCAATAGCTTGTTCAGTATCAGCACTCTGGACACCGCAGGCTGGGCCCAGACCTCAAACAAGGAGCAGAACAGGAACAAAATCTGCCAGGGTATTTCAACACTCCAGGGAAGTCTCTGGTTCAGCCACCCCAGAGGGCATCCACTCTGCTAACTACCCCCATTACTCACCCCTGGATGCCCTCTGCTAACCATCTCCAGCCTTCGATGCTGGTTGGTCAGCCTGGAGGCGCCATCTAACCGGGCAGATGGCAGCCACCTTCCTAAGCTTCTCAGTCCAGCATGGACCAGGCCACTTCACACAGCTCTGATGCCCGGGCTGGGGACGGGACACTGACGTGTAAGGCGAGCTAAAACGTAGCTCTGTCATTTCCCACGCCACACAGTTGCAATGCCATGTGGCTTTACTAGTAATCAGGGAAACAATAGCTGGTCCCTGGGACTCTATCCGGGCACGCCTTTTGTCACTGTTCTGCTAGTTGGTTCTAGATAATGTAACATAAACTCAGGATAGCAGCTTTTCCACTATGTGGACACAACAGGTGGAGACACCGGGCTGAACTCCACAAGTCCCACAGCAGAGGGGAGCCTGACTCCTCCTCAGAGACGTGGGCAGGGGTCAAAACCCAGAAGGAAGTCATCACCGCAGGTCCTGTCTGCTACCTTGTTGGACTGGCACATCCTGGGCATCGGTGGATTGGGATGGGATGTTCGGTGGGTCTAGGTGGACCACCTCCTGTCCTCCCTTCCATTTCACCCTCTCCCAGCTCAGTCTCCTAGCGGATCACCCTGCTTCCGGCTCACGGGCTTGGTGGGAACTCAGTGTTCTACCCGGCAGGGGTGGCAAAGTTTGCTCAGACAGAAGGGAGGTGTGTGACACGGTCATGGCATCTGAATGAGGCTGCCCAGGAAGACCTCACTGACAAAGGGGGGAAGGAGGGGATCTTTGCCCTTCAATGGGCAGTTGCTGGTAGATTTCATTCTTTGGTTAAAAGTGTAGCTTCCTCCAGTTGCCTGTGTTTGAAATACGTACATCCCTGGAAGGGGTTACACATTAAACCATTAACCGGACACTGGGCCTCCAGGAAAAGGGGACTTTGGGGAAGGCTGGTTCTGGAACAGGAAAAGGGTGTGAAGCCCCGAGGGGCAGCCCTATGACCACGTGGTGGGGGACAGGGAGGAGCCTCCGGTTACCTCCAGTTACAGCTCCTCCTTCCCACCCCTTCCCTCCCCGCCCCGAGATCCTCTCTCTCTCCTCTAACCTGGTGCCCCGGCTCTGCCCCTGGTAACAGGGGTGGTTTCTGCTCTGTTACTCGGGTTTGGGTCAAGACGTGGGGGCTCCATAAGGTTTTCCTTCCAGCCCAAGTTAGAGCGCAAAGGAATGGCACTGTCTGCCTTTAGACCGGCTTCCAAGGGGCCTGGGCGCGCCGCTGGCCTGAACCCCGGCGCTGGTCTCAGGGCCCCGCAGCCCCAGCTCACCTTTCCGGTCCGCGGCGCCCGGTGCCCTCCTTCCTGTAGGGCGGTGACTCCGGGGTTTCCCAAGGCGCGGGCCAGGGGGGCGGGGCTGCGTCCCAGGTGGGCCTCCGGGGTCCCTCCCGCGGCGTCCGGCTTTGGCGGGATTTTTCCAAAACTCTTTGCTCCCCAGCGCGATAGTCCCCGACCCTGCGTCTGTCCTGGTGGGGGTCTCGGTCCCGTCCCCGTTCCCGCTCCCGCTCCCCGTCCCTCCGCTCGCCACCCCTTTTCTCCCTGCGCCG